GTCTAGTGTATTTTTTTTTTTATCCACCGGTTTGATTCGCGTAATGGGCCAATCAGGTAAAGTAAAAGAATGTCGCGTTTTCTTGGACATCGGGAGTAAATCTCAATTCATCACCGAAAATTTGGGCAAGTCTTTGGAATTACATATTCATAGCATCGATACGTCAATCGTAGCAATTCTTGATAAGAAAAAACATTCAGAAAATGCCGAACTTAAAATACAAAATCATATTATGAAAAATCCACCGGCGCTTCAAAATACCGCGCTGGGGTTGATTCTTAATGGCAGTTTTGGGCATTTAAGAAATTCACGTCATCACAAGATTAGTTTGAGCAAAATCATTTCTCATTTCTTGGAAGTTGAAACCGTCAAAACCGGAAGCAGGTTATTAAGCAAAGGGTTTAAAACCTCTCTTTGTGCAACCCCTTTTCAAATTACCACCGGCCAAACACCCGATGGTCGTTTCGTAATTAAACTCCTCTTTTCGGAAAAGTTGGGTCGTTCCACAGTCCCTTATTTCAAAAATCCACCTCAATTAAGAAATTCCCAAGAAGGGGTTCTCCAACCGTTATTGTTCGCAGAGGGTCGTAATCATAAACTTACCGAGGGTTTTATTATCTTTCTAAGGAAGTACCTAGACCTTGTACACCTGAAGGTACTTAACGGAAATTCTTTAAATAATCCTAGTTACCTGCCACACAATTGTCTTTACAATCCCTACATTTCTTCCATTAAACGCTGCGAGGTTGTTGACCGTTCAAATTTTAGCTCAAACAATTTAAGCCCAAATGACAACTCATTAACAGCTCCCGTTTTGCAGTCCGAACCTTCCACCATTCTAATTCAATTTCGTTTGCCCCAATTTATCAATACATGTGATATATCGAAGATGTACCGGTGCGGTTGGCTTCACTCTGACGACCGCAATTATCAAAAAATCATGTGGCTAGAATCTCCTGAACACAATCATTGTTTTTATGTCGATAAGGCATTGTTCGTTTCAAATTCTTTAGTCAAATTAATCGAGCCCAAAGACGACTTAAAGACCGTTCTAGCGAAGGCAAGTTCCAAGATAAGTAAATGGTCGTCTAATTGTCCTGATATACAAGAATGCGCTCAGGCTACATCCAACAGTAATCGTTTAATAGCTGACAAACAGGACAATAATAAAACTTTAGATATCAGGTGGGATAACCAAAAAGAATCGTTTTTATATGCAGCATTCATTAGTCACGACGTCACAAATTTCGTAAGTACTAAGCGCAAGCTAAGCGAATTGCTATTAGGGAAAGAATTTCAGAATAAGCTAAAACCAGAAAATATCAAATGGACTTTAATTCCCCCGCGTGGGCCCAATTTTGGTGGTTTGTGGGTAGCGTGGATTAAATTCGTAAAAACTCACATCCAGCTCATTATCGGATACAACCATCTAACGTACGAGGTGATGCATGCGCTTTTGGTCAGGATTGAAGCTGTCCTGAATTCGCACCCTGTGACGCCGCTTTCCAGCGACGTTACGAAGTTAGCCGCACTGACTCCGGGACATTGTCTCGTTGGCCATCCATTGACTACTCCAATAGAAAAGGACCACACTCCTGTCAACATGCTTTCCCGTTGGCAATTGAGTGAATCCTGCCGCCAACATTTTGGAAGCGCTGGTCCGTGGAATATCATACGACGCTGCAGGGGAGATCCAGGTGGCAAACCCTCTCAAGAAACGTTCCCGGCACTGGAGCGCTGGTATTACCGATCAAAGAAGACAACCGGCACCCGTTGCGGTGGCTATTACAACGAATAGTGCAAGTGCATCGCGGCAAAGACGATCTTGTTCGCGTAGTGTAGTGTCGAAATTGCATCATAAAGTGCGCCTATTCGGAAACGGCTTTTCCATTTACTAATTCGGGTTCTGGTTATCTACACACTATTGTAAATAAAGTTTGTCCACTCGTATTGTACCTGATAAAGAGTTGTAAATCTCTCTTTCAGGTGTATTCCAAGTACCTATAAATTACATTCATTCTTATTGTATGTGGGCAACTTGTTGTAAATCGCTATTCTTAGTTTATTGCCCATATTGTATAATCACTGTTAATCCATTCTATACAATGTTAATTGTAGTAAATCTTACTCATGTATTCTCATTTGAATTGATCATTATGATATCATGTTATCACTCTAACATTCTATTATTTGGTATTAAAACAATGTAATTGTTTCAAGGCGAGGGGTATGTTAGTGCCTCTGGCGGGGACCTGTTTCACCCCTCTCCACCCGTAAGGGTGGGAGCCAGGGCCACCACCACCTTGAAACACAGGGAACATCATTCATTCACTATTCATTCATTCACTATTCATCATTCACTCTTCAAGCACTCAATCAAGCGGTTAACATAGTCTTTATATTTAATCTCTGGACCTAACGGTCATAATATCATACTCGCTCTAGAACACACTTGTTATTTATTTAATAAAACTATAAAACGACTGTCCGCTGCTCTTATTCATAATCCATCAAACTTAACAGACGTCATCAACATTTTTGCAAGGACACGCAGATCAACTTGGATTGGTGTACTGTAATACTAAAAATAACAGTATTGTATCCCCAAAATTTTCTGGCAAAATGGAACAGGCCGTTCCTGATTTAATCAATAAAATAAATTGATACATTCATTAATTTTTTTGAGTCACTTGCATAAGCAAATCTAAAAAATATGAATGCAATGAAAACTCACAAGTAAAAACTCATGATATTTTGCACAAATCTGGTGGTTTTAGGAATTTAACTCGTTACTATGGAAATTTGCAATTTAACACCTTTCAATTTCACAAGTTTTTACAAGATGAGTAGCAACAAAATCAGTTTTATCTTAACAAGTTTAAGGCCCGCCCACCCGCCCACTATTTTATCAGACGATATTTCATCTGCCAAATTCAGTCTTATCTTAGCAAGTCCTAGCCCCGCCCACCCGCCCCTTATTTTCTCAGAGGATATGTCATCTGCCAAAGTCAGTCTTATCTTGGCAAGTCCTAGCCCCGCCCACCCGCCCATTATTTTCTCAGAGGATATGTCATCTGCCAAAATAAGACTTATGTTAGCAAGTACTAGCTCCGCCCTTCATTTTCTCAGAGGGTAGTACTTGGTAGTACTTGCTAAGATAAGTCTTATTTTGGCAAATAATATATCCTCTGAGAAAATACGGGTGGGTGGGCGGGGCTCAGTACTCTTGGAGATTACCTATCTGTTTAATAAAAATCCGGGACGGCAGACAGACACACGGACAGACAGACAGACGGAAACGGGAAACAACTTTTTTCGTACTGTAGGGGTCATGAAACGTCGATAAAATAATTGAAATTAAAAATTAAAGGAATTAAAAGAAACAATAAATTCAAAAATCGAAACAACATAAAATTCAAAATCTGAAATATGAAATTGAAAAAAAGAAAAATTGAAAAACCGATTAAATAAAGTTTGAAAAATTGGAAAGTAAATTATTTAAAAATTGAAAAATCGTAATAAAATCAAGAAACAAAAAAATCGAAAAATTGAAAAACTTGAGTGAAAAACTAAAAAATCGGAAACTGCGAAATCGAAAAAACGAAAAATTTAAATATTCAAAAAATTGCCAATAAAACAGCGAATGAAATTCAAATGCCGAGTTTGTTCTCAATACCAAACGAAAAAATAAACTAACAATTTTTTGTAAGTAATTTGCGAAAGACTAACAGTCAGATGAAAAAAGGGGAAAAATAACAATAGAACCAAAGTCCTGCAAGATGGTAGAAAATTGGGAAGGAATCTACTTTAATCAATAGTTAAGAACTGAAGTAATTGGTACAATATTAAATTAATTAATAAGAGTGAACTCTAACCTTTCTTTAGTCAATTTTGGCGCAGTTATCAGGATAATGAATTCCCAGACTTAAATATTTTCCGTTCATGTTTTAAATGTATCTACTGAACAGTTTTTTTTTTTATAAAAATTGCTTAGATAAACGTTGCTCGTAATCACACTCTGTCTCTATCCGTCGAAGCAAAGAAAGAAGATTTGCGAAAGACTAACAGTCAGATGAAAAAAGGAGAAAAATAAGAATAGAACCAAAGTCGTGCAAGATGGTAGAAAATTGGGAAGGAATCTACTTTAATCAATAGTTAAGAACTGAAGTAATTGGTACAATATTAAATTAATTAATAAGAGTGAACTCTAACCTTCCTTTAGTCAATTTTGGCGCAGTTATTAGGATAATGAATTCCCAGACTTAAATATTTTCCGTTCGTGTTTTAAATGTATCTACTGAACATTTTTTTGTTTTAAATTGCTTAGATAAACGTTGCTCGTAATCTCATTCTATCTCTATCCCTCGAAGCAAAGAAAGAAGTTTGAACTCTCGCAACTGTGAGAAAATAGAAAACTAATCAAGTAGATTACCAAAAACTGATTAACAAACCATGTTAGTAGGACAGCAGACAAAATCGAACGGATCGACTTTGACATATTTTGCGTGTCGGTAAATTAACCCCATCAAATGTCACCAGGACCCATCTAATCCCCCAGTTATATTTACTCCTTATCTCATTAATTTCGATAACGAAACCAGCAATTATCCCATCTAAAACAGTCCGAGTACTCCAAACAATTAATACGCAAAATTACGGCCCGCGTTGTCATTGTCTATATTTACCTTAATTATTCATCCTTTAACCTTCATGTGGACAGTAAAATCGACACGGAAGGTATGTAAATGGAAGCGAGAGTTTTTAATCCAATTTCGGTTAAAGCTCGACACTCCAGGGATGGGATAAATGTATCAATCGACTAATTGGCTTGAGCTCGTCGGAAACACCCAAGACATTAACTCCGCACTGAATAATACATGTTGAAGTCGATTTCAAAATCTTTGCGTAAATCTTTGGCACGAGACTAACGCAAGCGCCGCAGATTCTCATTCAAAAGATCAACCATGTGCTGTGCAACTATTGTGTTCCTGTCAGCTCCACCAAGTCTACGCGAAAAATAAAAATTGACGTTTTTGGAGAAAAAGCGCTTTTTTGGATGCACAGTGCTCCCTGCGATGCGGTAAGTCAATTTTTTAATTGTCGCTCACAATTTTTAACCTTCTAATAATAATCAACGTTTTGTGTGCGAGGTGCTATTTTCGGCCACAATTTGATTATTTTTTGACTTTATATTTACCTTTTGTGTGAAGCTAGCGCAGATTTGACGATTCCCAGACGAATTTTCTGAATTTCTGAGTGCGCATTATGTTGTAACTTTGTTTATTGTTTTCGTACTTTTTTAACATTTTATCTATAAAATTGTCGCCTACACGATTCGCCCGAACTATAAAAACTACGACAATACGGTGTTTTCGCATTAACGAGGGCTTTTGATGTTGTGCCAGTTTTAAGGATCATTTGTTTAATTCGGGATGATTCAGACTACATTAATTTTGTTCGTGTTTTCCGTAAAGAAGTTGGGAGTTCACGATGCTAAGTATTTATTATTTCGTAATTAGTAAATTTTTTTGTTGTGCAATTGAAATTGAGTGTTTGTTTGTAATAGTATGGTGAGTCTGCAAAATGGGAAATGTTGTCTAATTTTTTTATTTTATAACCACGAAATTCAGGAAATTTAATTTTTGGCTTGCTGTTTTTAACTTTCTTCTTGGAAAAAAAGTGCTTCCCGATGATTGTGCTGTGTTTTTGCTATTTATATGAAGGGGGGACTAGTTTAGTTCGCATAAGAGGTTTATCTGTGAAATGGGAAAGCTCGTGAGTGACTTGGTTGGTGATTGCAACCATTTTTTGAAGGTAATAAGGGATTTTTGATTTTATTATTAATAACAGATTCCTAATTAATAATTAAAAAACAGAAGGGCGTTGCGAATTGTATGTCGAGACGATAGTCGTGGTACAGAACAAACCAACACGTGGTGTAAATTTGATTTGTTGTTTGTAAATTCACAGTTCATGTTAGGATTTTAATCGTTACTGGTTCCAACACAACTTAACAGTCCTGAGATTGTTCAGATAAAGCACGTGCTAGGAGATTTATGAGATTAACTTAGTCAAGATTCATCGTTTGTTTATCAAGTTAAAAGTAAGGTTTCTGGATGTTTATACTTAAGTGTTACATTATAACATTTCTTAATTCTTCACACAAAATTGCTAATAGTTCATTTAGGGCAGTTAAATTAACTTAAAGTTGTCCCACTCTGGGAAAAGGGACCGTGGAAAGAGCGATAGAATTCCTAATTTCGTGAAGTTGACGAACGGAGGAATTAAAATTTTTCCCCTTAGGCAGTTATGGTCGAGTTTTATTAAAATTTTGTATTCTTGTTGACTGCCATTATTTTTAATTTACCGCCACAAGTCAGTAATAACTTGTGTATTTGGATCTAGTCCTTTAATTCAGATTTTTTTGTTTTTATTTAATTTGTGACATTCAATACAAAAAAGTGGTTAAAATTGGTTTAATCGACCGAAAACTGGTGTCAAATTGTAGATAATCTTCCGCTAGTTTCGATTCTGAAATCGCCGTCTCGATATCTGGTCCAATAACGACGAAAAGAGGATTCAAAATTTCCAAAAATTTTCCAAAAAAGTGGTTAGAATTGGTTCAATCGACCGAAAACTGGTGTCAAATTGTAGATAATCTTCCGCCAGTTACGATTCTGAAATCGCTGTCACGATATCTGGTCCAATAAGATCGTAAAGTGGATTCAAAATTTCCAAACATTTTCCAAAAAAGTGGTTAAAATTGGTTCAATCTACCTAAAATTGGTGTTAAATTGAAGATAATTTTCCGCTAGTCACGATTCTGAAATCGCCGTCACGATATCCGGTCCAATAAAGACGAAAAGTATATTCAAAATTTCCAAAAATTTTACAAAAAAGTGGTTGAAATTGGTTCAATCGACCGAAAATTGGTGTCAAATTGAATCCGCTAGTTACGATTCTGAAATCGCCGTCACGATATATGGTCCAATAAGGTCGGAAAGTGGATTCAAAATTTCCAAAAAATTTCCAAAAAAGTGGTTAAAATTGGTTCAATCGACCGAAAATTAGTGTCAAATTGAAGATAATCTTCGACTAGTTACGATTCTGAAATCGCCGCCACGATATCTAGTCCCATAAACACGCAAAGTGAATTCAAAATTACCAAAAGTTTTCCAAAAAAGTGGTTGAAATTGGTTTAATCGACCAAAAGTTGGTGTCAAATTGAAGATAATCTTCTGCTAGTTACGATTCTGGATCCGCCGTCACGATATCCGGTCCAATAAGGTCGTAAAGTGGATTCATAATTTCCAAAAATTTTCCAAAAAAGTGGTTAAAATTGGTTCAATCGACCGAAAATTGGTGTCAAATGAAAGATAATCTTTTGTTAGTTACGATTCTGAAATCGCCGTCACGATATCTGGTCTCATAAAGACGTAAAGTGAATTTAAAATTTCCAAAAATTTTCCAAAAAAGTGGTTAAAATCGGTTCAATACACCGAAAATTGGTGTCAAATTGAAGATAATTTTCCGCTCATTACGATTCTTAAATCGCCGCCACAATATCTAGTCCAATAACGACGAAAAGTGGATTCAAAATTTCCAAAAATTTTCCAAAAAAGTGGTTAAAATTGGTTCAATCCACCGAAAATTGGCGTCAAACTGAAGATAATCTTCCGCTAGTTACGATTCTGAAATCGCCGCCGTGATATCTAGTCCAATAACGACGAAAAGTGGATTCAAAATTTCCAAAAATTTTCCAAAAAAGTGGTTAAAATTGGTTCAAACGACCGAAAATTGGTGTCAAATTAAAGATAATCTTCCACTCATTACGATTCTGAAATCGCCGCCACGATATCTGGTCCAATAAGGACGTAAAGTGGATTCAAAATTTCCAAAATTTTTCCAAAAAAGTGGTTAAAATCGGTTCAATACACCGAAAATTGGTGGCAAATTGAAGATAAACTTCCGCTCATTACGATTCTTAAATCGCCGCCACGATATCTACTCCAATAACGACGAAAAGTGGATTCAAAATTTCCAAAATTTTTCCAAAAAAGTGGTTAAAATTGGTTCTATCGACCGAAATTTGGTGTGAAATTGAAGATAATCTACCTCTAGTTACGATTCTGAAATCGCCATCACGATATCTGGTCCAATAAGATCGTAAAGTGGATTCAAAATTTCCAAAAATTTTCCAAAAAAGTGGTTAAAATTGGTTCAATCGACCGAAAATTGGTGTCAAATCGAAGATAATCTACTGCTAGTTGCGATTCTGAAATCGCCGTCACGATATCCAGTCCAATAAAGACGAAAAGTATATTCAAAATTTCCAAAAATTTTCCAAAAAAGTGGTTAAAATTGGATCAATCGACGGAAAATTGGTGTCAAATTTGAAGATAATCTTGCGCTAATTACGATTCTGAAATCGACGTCACGATACCTGGTCCAATAAGGTCGGAAAGTGGATTCAAAATTACCAAAAATTTTCCAAAAAAGTGCTCAAAATTGGTTTAATGGACCGAAAATTGGTGTCAAATTGTAGATCATTTTCCGCTAGTTACGATTCTGAAATCCCCGTCACGATATCTGGTCCAATAATCGTAAAGTGGTTTCAAAATTTCCAAAAATTTTCCAAAAAAGTGGTTAAAATTGGTTATATCGACCGAAAGTTGGTGTCAAATTGAAGATAATCTACCTCTAGTTACGATTCTGAAATCGCCATCACGATATCTGGTCCAATAAGATCGTAAAGTGGATTCAAAATTTCCAAAAATTTTCCAAAAGAGTGGTTAAAATTGGTTCAATCGACCGAAAATTGGTGTCAAATTAAAGATAATCTTGCGCTAGATACGATTCTGAAATCACCGGCACGATATCTGGTCCAATAAGGACGTAAAGTGGATTCAAAATTTCCAAAAATTTTCCAAAAAAGTGGTTAAAATTGGATCAATCGACGGAAAATGGGTGTCAAATTGAAGATAATCTTCCGCTAGTTGCGATTCTGAAATCGCCGCCACGATATCGAGTCCAATAACGACGAAAAGTGGATTCATAATTTCCAAAAATTTTCCAAAAAAGTGGTTAAAATTGGTTCAATCGACCGAAAATTGGTGTCAAATGAAAGATAATCTTTTGTTAGTTACGATTCTGAAATCGCCGCCACGACATCGAGTCCAATAACGACACAAAGTGAATTCAAAATTTCAAAAAAATTTCCAAAAAAGTGGTTGAAATTGGTTCAATCGACCAAAAGTTGGTGTCAAATTGAAGATAATCTTCCGCTAGTTACGATTCTGGATCCGCCGTCACGATATCTGGTCCAATAAGGTCGTAAAGTGGATTCATAATTTCCAAAAATTTTCCAAAAAAGTGGTTAAAATTGGTTCAATCGACCGAAAATTGGTGTCAAATTGTAGATAATCTCCCGCTAGTTACGATTCTAAAATCGCCGCCACGATATCTCGTCTAATAAACACGCAAAGTGGATTCAAAATTTCCAAAAATTTCCCAAAAAAGTGGATAAAATTGGTTCGATCGACCGAAAATTGGTGTCAAATTGAAGATAATCTGCAGCTAGTTACGATTCTGAAATCGCCGCCACGATATCTAATCCAATAACGACGAAAAGTGGATTCAAAATTTCCAAAAATTTTCCAAAAAAGTAGTTAAAATTGGTTCAATCGACCGAAAATTGGTGTCAAATTTTAGATAATCTTCCGCTAGTTACGATTCTGAAATCGCCGTCACGATAACAGGTCCGATAAGCACGCGAAGTGAATTCAAAATTTCCAAAAATGTTCCAAAAAAGTGGTTAAATTTGGCTCAATTGACCGCAAATTGGCGTCAAATTGAAAATAATGTTGCGCTAATTACGATTCTAAAATCGCCGTGACGATATTTGTTCCAATAAGGTCGTAAAGTGGATTCAAAATTTCCAAAAATTTTCCAAAAAAGTGGTTTAAAATGGTTCAATTGACCGAAAATTGGTGTCAAATTGAAGATAATCTTCCGTTAGTTATGATTCTGAAGTCGCCGTCACGATATCTGGTCTAATAAGGACGTAAAGTGGATTCAAAGTTTCCAAAAATTTTCCAAAATAGTGGTTAAAATTGGTTCAATCGACCGAAAATTGGTGTCAAATTGTAGATAATCTCCCGGTAATTACGATTCTGGAATCGCCGTCACGATATCTAGTCCAATAAGCACGCAAAGTGAATTCAAAATTTCCAAAAATTTTCCAAAATAGTGGTTAAAATTGGTTTAATCGACCGAAAATTGGTGTCAAATTGTAGATAATTTTCCGCTAGTTACGATTCTGAAATCACCGGGTGTCTGGAAAAGGCGGATTAACTTTTCAATACGTTGTTACGGAGTTTTCGGGAGTCTAATAAAAAAAAATTCTTTATGATCTAGATTACAAAAAAAAAACAGTAGTCATTAATCGTTGTTCATTATTATTAGAAAACAAGCTGTTAACAAACCAACAAAAAAAAATCCATTAAAGCATAATCTACCAAACACTAGAGAAGATGTTCAAAATTCCTGCCTTGTGTATATAAGGCCTTGCATTATTTCCAAATTTCGATCATTTTTTGTTAAATATCCATCATTACTTGCTAAGATAAAACTGACTTTGGCAAATCATATACCTTCTAAGAAAATAGAGGGTGGGTGGGCGGGGCTAGTATTTGCTAAGATAAGACTGATTTTGGCAAATCACAAACCTTCTAAGAAAATAGCGGGTGGGTGGGCGGGGCTAGTACCTGCTGAAATAAGGCTAGTTTTGGCGTTTCAAAAATTGTCAAAATTTTCAAAACCCTACGTTTAAAATGTTCACAGTTAATTTTAGGCTCCCTGATGTTTTTTTTTTTATTTTCGGACAAAATTTAAAAAATCTGGTCTTTTGATGCTGGATGAACTTGAAAAAATATTTTGAGCTTCTAGTGTTTCATTTTTTATGAATTTGCAAAAGTCTTTAATGCCGCAGTGTTTTTTTTTAATTCGGGAGATTTTTCTTAACCCTTGAATTGTTAAAAATTGGAGAAAATTGGAGTAACGTGGCAACGTCGCATCGGAACTTTAAAAGTAAAATTTGTAAAGTATATAGTGTTCTATTAAAAAACAATTCATTCCTTCAGAACTCAACAATTTATTTTTAAAAACTTGATAATTGTTTCGGAGTTTTTTTTTTTTTTTGATCTGAGACCTCTATACTCTTTGAGTATGTTTCGAATGTCGAAAATTTCCCGAACCACCCACCTCAACTCCCCAGACTCTCCCAAGCACCATCACCCAGTCCCAAACCCCACCGAACGCACCTAATCGTGGTAAAACACCCAACAACACCCATCGCGCATGTTGCCGCACATTAATTTCCACTTCGCCGTGTACTTCCCCACTTTCGAAAGCTCCAGTAAAGCTTAGGCAATGCATGTAGCATGCCGGCGTTCGTGAACTTGACACAAACAAATTAGGTCCCAATTAAAAGCCACATAGAATCGTGTAAGTCCGAACTAATCCCCCCAACTCCGGAAACTTTTCCCATTACTGTCACGAAATCCGTGCGCTTCCGGATGCACCGCAATTGAATTCCGCGTTCATTGTTGCAGGAAGTGAGGACGATCGGGAAGGTTCTGGCCGGGATGGTGGTGTCCAGAGACAGCTCGTTAATCCGGCCCTGCATCAAAGAGGTAATTTTCGTTGTAAGTGTCGCCCCGTTACTCCGTAGAGTAGTTCGTATTTTTAGGAATCGGATTTTTGGCAGCGGCGCTGTTTTGGATGCAGTTTTTATTAGTTGTTACGTACGTGTGGAAATGGGTGATTTGGTCGCTTTTCCGGTGTGTGCTTTTGTTTTTTAATTAGGTAATTTTCATTTTTGCGCTGGTATTAATTACGTGCAAAAGGGCGGATTTATTTATTGCGAGTATGAATTGTGGACGTGATAAAGCTGGTAATAACACGAGGAACATTAATAATGTGGCATGGCTACAATAAATTGGAGTATTTTTAGTGGCCGATTGTTTTAAATAAGCTGGCGCGGAATCGGAAAGCACACGATGTCGGATAGTGACAATTATTATTATTGCAGGAGATAATAGATATATTGCAAATGTATGGTAAATATTGCTTGATTTAATAAAGTTTTTGTTTAATCCAGATGATTCACGTTCTCGTTGATAAAAAACATTCACTCTGTTTAGTTGCAGTTGTTTGAATATTTGTTTTAACGATGTGTTCTGATGATTTCTGTTTACAGTTTTATTAGACGTATGTACAATTATTTAAAAAATAGCTTTGAGTGTCATATTTTTAAAAAGAAAGATATATTTAAACGTTTCTCAATGATCAGCATTATTTTTTATTTTGGTAAAAATAATCTAAAAATGTGTCATTGTTTGTAGACTGTTAAATTCGGGTATCGTTTCAACATTTTCTCGATTTTGCTCTAGATATGTGTCTTTCATTAATCAATATTTCTGTAACGTTATGTGATAAAAGCTATATTTAATGACAATTTGAAAGTAAAAAGTGTTTTAAATGCCCATTAAAATATATTGCAGCGTTTTAAAGTAAGTTTTTATATACTAACTCATTATTTTTCACTGTACAGATTCTGTTTATAGGACTTAATTTAATTTATATTTTGTATACGCAGTCCTAAAACGTAACCGTTTATTTTTAAAATCCTGACGCGTTGTGTTATTGTGTTGGTTAAATTCAATTTTATTATAGCGTTTACAAAAAAATTCGAAGAATAGATACTTTATAAACACTCGGTATATTAAAGCTCAAGTTAATTGATTAAATTAACACTAACCCAACGAAATTTTTTAAGTTTTTTAAATCATTCTGGATATTTTACTTTTTTTTTTGTTAAATATTTTCTGTACCTAAAGTTGACATTCTAAAATTTTTCACATTAAACACATTCTCATATCATAAGAAATAGAACAAAAAATAAACAGGATACAGTGATAAAATACCGGGTGTTCTATTTTAAAAAGCTGCAGTATCGATATTTGAAAACTGTACCGTTCAGTTTTTCAATTTTCCAGATTTTCGTTTGTTTAAATTTTCCATTTTACGATTTTTAATTTTTTTTTTTTTTAATTTCCATTTTTCGATTCCTCAACATTTCGACACTTCTATTGTGAATTTTTTCGTTTCTGTATTTTTCCAGTTTTTTGATACTTTAATTTTAGATTTTTCGGTTTATCGATTCCTCGAATTTTCGACTTTTCGATTTCTCGATCCCTTGATGTTTCGACTTCTCGACGTTTCAATTTTTCGACTTTTCCAGTTCTCAAGTTTTCGGTCTTTCGATGTTCGAATTTTTTTTATTTCGACCTGACCTGACTTGACCCGATTAGCTAAATTTTCGATTTTTCAATATTCGAATTTTTAATTTATTTTCTTTTTGATTTTTCGACTTTCAGTTTTTCAATTCTTTGATTTTTAATTTTTTTTGCGTTTCGAATTTTTGATGTTCGAATTTTCAATTTTTTTACTTTTCGATTTTCAGTGTTTCCGTCCTTTGTTTAAGTCGAAAAATTGAAAAATCGAAAAATCTAAAGATCGAAACATCGAAATCTTGATAATTTGAGAAATGATAAAACTGAAATTTTGAAAAATTTAAAAACCAAAAAATTGAAACATCGAAAAACCGAAAAATCAAAATACGAGAAATCGAAGAAAAGTGAACAATCATAATAAATGGAAAATCCCAAAATTGAAAAAGAAAAACTGCGACACCGAAAAATTGCAAAATCGAGAAATTGGAAAGTCGAGAAAGAATCGAAAATATGAAAATGGAAAAATCAAGAAATAGCGAAATTGAAAAGCCGAGAGGCTGAAACATCGAAAAATTGAGCAATGGAGAAATGAGAGAATCAAAAGATCTAATAGTCAAATGGTCGGGAAGTCGAAAATGGAAAAATCGAGAAGTCGGAAAAGTCAGAAATGGAAAAGTCGAAAAATCACAAAATCAAAAATTCAGTTGATCAAAAAATCGAAAATTTAGAAACACCAAAATCGAAAAATTGAAGAATAGAAAAATGAAAAACCACAAAACTGGGACATCGAAAAACTGAGATAGGGGAAAAGTAAAAAATCGAGAAATAGAAAAGTCGAGAAATAATCGAAAACATGAAAAATTGAGCAATCGACAAATGAGTAATTCAAAATATTGCTAGAAAAATTAAAAAAAATGGAATAACATCAGAAATTCAAAAATAAAATATGGTTATAGAGCATAGAAAGCCTATTAATAACCGATTTTTCGATTTTACAATTTTTTGATGTTTCGATGTTTCAATTTCTCGTTTTTTCAGTTATGATTCTTCAATTTTTCGATTAATCAATTCGTTTTTTTTGAATTACAGATCTTTCGACTTCTCGATTTCTCGTATTTTGATTATTCAGTTTTTCAATTTTTCAGATTTTCGTTTTTTTAAATGTCCCATTTATTGATTTTTTAATTTTTCCATTTTACGATTTTTTAATTTTTTTTAAATTTCCAGTTTTCGATTTTTCAAGTTTTCGATTTCTCAACTTTTCGGCACTTCTATTTTGGATTTTTTTTTCGTTTCTGTATTTTTTCAGTTTTTTGGTATTTTAATTTTAGATTTTTTGGTCTATCGACTCCTCGAATTTTCGATTTCTCGATTTCTTGATATCTCGATTTCTCGACGTTTTAATTTTTCGATTATTCCAGTTATCAAGTTTTAGATTTTTCAATATTCGAATTTTTAATTTTTTGACTCAGTTTTTCAATTCTTTGGTTTTTCAATTTTTTTTTATGGATTTTCGATGTTCGAATTTTCAATTTTTTTACTTTTCGATTTCCAGTTTTTTCGTTCTTTAGTTTTTAAGTCTAAAAATTGAAAAATCGAGAAATCTAAAAATCGAAAAATGATAAAACTGAGAAATTGAAAAATTTAAAAACCAAAAAATTGAAACATTGAAAAACCGAAAATCGGAAATCGAAAAATCTAAAATTTAAGAAACCAAAAAACTGAAACATCAAAAACCGAAAAATCAGAAAACGAGATATCGAAAAATTGAATAAATTAACATAACACGAGATTGAAGAATCATAATACATAATTGAAAAATCTCAAAATTCGATCTCCAAAAATTGATCACTCGATAAATCGAAAAATTGAAAAATACCAAAACTGAAAAAGAAAAAGTGAGATATCGAAAGATTGTAAAATCGAGAAATCGAAAAGTCGCGGAGAATCGAAAATATGTAATTAGAAATACAGAAAAATTGAGCAATCGAAAATGAGAAATCCAAAATATCGAAAAATCAAAACATCTAATAGTCGAAAAGTCAAGAAGTCGAAAAATCGGGGAATCGAAAAGTCGAAAAATAAAAAAATCGAAAAATCGGTTGATAGAAAATTAGAAAATTTGGAAAAACCAAACACTGCAATATTAAACAATCGGAAAATTTAAAAATCAAAAAATTGAAGGATCGAAAAATTTGAAAAATCGAGTAATCTAAAATTTAAGAAACCAAAATATCGAAAAATGATAAAATTGAAAAATTGAAAAATTTTAAAACCAAAAAATTGAAACAGAAAACTCGAAAAATCAGGAAATCGAGAAATCGAAAAATCAAAAATTTAAGAAACCAAAAAATTGAAACATCAAAAACCGAAAAATTAGAAAACGAGAAATCGAAAAATTGAAGAAATGAACATAACAAAAGATTGAAGAATCTCAAAATTCGATCTCCAAAAATGGAATTTTTTAATTCATCGAGTGAATTAAAAAATTGAAAAATCCCAAAATTGAAAAAGAAAACTGAGATATAGAAAAATTGCAAAATCGAGAAATCGAAAAGTTGAGGAAGAATCGAAAATATGAAAATGGAAAAATAGAGAAATCGCGAAATTGAAAAACCGAACGATGAAACATCGAAAAATTGAGCAATGGAGAGAAAAATGGAAGATTTAAAATATCTAAAAATCGAAAAATCTAATAGTCAAAAGTCGAGAAGTCAAAAAATTGAAAAATCGAAATGTCTAGAAGTCGGAAAAGTCAAATACGAAATTTTAAAATCGAAGAAAAATTGAAGAATAGAAAATTGAAAAATCTCAAAACTGGGACATCGAAAAACTGAGATAAGGGAAAATTAAAAATCGAGAAACAATCGAAAATATGAAAATTGAAACACGGAAAAATTGAGCAATCGAGAAATGAGAAATTCAAAACATCGAAAAATCGAAAAGTCGATAAGTCGGAAAAGTCGATAAGTCGGAAAAATCAGAAAAGGAAAAGTCAAAAAATCGCAAAATCGAAAAATCGAAAATTTAGAAACACCAAAATCTGGAATATTAAAAAAATCGAAAAATTGAAGATTCGAAAATTAAAGAATCCTAAAACTCGAATATCGAAACATTGTAAAATCGAAGAAAAACTGAAAGATAGAAAACTGAAAAATCTCAAAACTGGGACATCGAAGAACTGAGATAGAGAAAAATTAAAAAATCGAGAAAATCGAAAAGTCGAAAAATCAAAAAAAACCCGAAAAATCGGTTGATAGAAAATTAGAAAATTTAGAAAAACCAAACACTGGAATATTAAACAATCGGAAAATTTAAAAATCGAGAAATTGAAGAATCGAAAAATTGAAAAATCGAGAAACCTAAAAATCGAAACATCGAAAATTGTGGAATCGAGGAACGAGAAGATC